ACAAAATCAGGGTTGTCTCAATTCACAACTATATTGTCTCAAGTTTTTAGGTGAAGTTCATGAGAAGATGCTGACTGTCCTGGAACACACAGAGTGGATCCCCTCTCCTCCATCATAATCCATTGACCATGTTCTAAAAATAACAAAATGTCAGCACAATCATTAAATTGCACAGTTTAACTATTCTTCTTGATTGAAATACATTTTATTATATATTAATTAGGTTTTTAAAAATGCTTACTTATGCATTTTCTGGCTGGATATTTGACACCATTTTTCCATAGCCAGTGTGTCAATGTCTGGTTTTAGGTCTTGTGCTGAAGCAATCCATAGAACAGCGTGGAGGTTCTCATCAGTGATACGTGATCTATGCTTGTTTTTGTTTAGATTCATTATTGAAAACATCTGTTCGCACAGATAGGTGCTCCCAAACATAGACAGAACACGGGCTGCATGACGTCGAAGCTGTGGCATTGAACCAGGGGGTATTTTACAGTAAAAGTCCTGGATTGCAACATCCTTGAACTTTGCTTTCAGGCTACGATTACTTTGAAGCTCGATTAACTCCATCTGAAGGTGCTGGGGTGCAGTGCAGACGTCGGTGGTGAAAGGATCGGCAAAGATGGCAAAGTCTGAGTGCTGCGCCTTAAAGTCAAAGAAGCGCCGATCAAACTCATTTATTAATCGGCTCACTTTGGTAGCCAACTGAGTACATAAAAAAACACCAGGAAATGAGGCTGAAATGCTTTGACAAACAGGAATGAGCAAGATTGTCCTGTTTGACTTGGCACATCCACAGATCAAGTTTACGCTGGAAAGCCGTGATCATGTCGGACATCTGCGTAATGACTTGTCTACGTCCCTGCAGCTTCTGATTCAGTTGGGCGAGATGCTCGGTTATGTCACATAACAGCAAAGTCACACAGCCAGTTGGGATCTGACAGTTCAGACATGAATTTTCCTTTACTTAGCATGAAAAGAGCAATATCTTCCCTAAGTTCAAAAAATCGTTTGAGGACTTTACTCCTACTCAGCCACCGTACTTCTGTATGGTACGGCACGTCTCCATACTCTGAGCCCATTTCCTGCAAGAACAGTTGGAACTGACGGTGATTCAGGCCACGCGCTCGAATGAAGTTCACAGTTTTCATGACTGTGGTCACTACATGATCCATCCCCAGCACCTTCCCACACAACGTTTCTTGATGAATGATGCAATGATACGTTACCAGAGGCATCTGACAATTACTTTTTAGCATTTTGTCTTTTATTAGTCCAACCAAGCCCGCTTTTCCTCCACACATTGCGGGTGCAACGTCTTTAGATAATCCCACCAACTTTTCCCAAGGCAATGCATTTTTACTCATGGACTTCTCCACCATATCAAAAATGTCCTGTCCCGTTGTGGTCCCAGGCATGGCAGTTACATCCAACAGCTCCTCAGTGACAGGTCCGACTTCATGCCTCAAATAAAAATGGATAGATGCGCTGTATCTGTGTTGTCTGTGCTTTCATCAAGAGCTAATGAAAAAGCTATGTAGCTACGTGTCTCTTGGGCCAGCTGCGTCGACAGGTTTCCTGCTAGTTCTAACTCGGTCCACAATGGTGTTCCTTGATAAAGTGACATTTTTAAAAGTCTGTATCTGGTCGGGGCACACCTGTTCACAGACCTTCAGCATGCACTGTTTCAAAAACACGCCCTCTGAAAAACACTTTGAAGCTCGGGCGATTTCTTCTGCAACGATGAAGCTAGCTTTCACTGCCACAGTGTTTTTGGTTGTGGCTTTAGTGAACACATTCTGCTGCAATTGTAGTTTGCTTTTTAATTTTTCGACAATCTGTCGTTTTTCTGAAAGGCTAACTTTGGCATACTTAGCTCTGTGTTTGGTTTCAAAATGCCAACGTAGATTGTACTCTTTGACAACCAATAATGCCTCGTAACATAATAGACATACCGGTTTCTCTCCTTGAAGCACAAACATGTATTCACCTTCCCATCTTTCTTGAAACATCCTTCCATCTGCATCAACTTTCCTCTTCCTGGACATTTTGGGATCATTTGTAATTCCACATAATTCAACTTGCAGAAAATAACATTGATGCGGATACACTGCAACCTAGTGGCGAGATGTCGACAATTCGCTGGTAACATAATTGGTATGCATTCTGGGAAATGTAGTTTGTGGTCAATGCTCTCTTTTGCTTTATTTAAAGACAATCGGAACTTTGTAGCTCTCGCGGGCCACATAAAATGACGTGGCGGGCCTTGAGTTTGACACCTGTGCTCTACATAAACGACCTCTGTGATCATATTAAGAGCAATTGCGTTCTCTTCGCTGATGATGTAAAGCTGTTCAATACCACAGACAATACTGCTACCCTACAAAAAGATCTTGACTACGTATCAGAATGGTCAAACAAATGGCAACTTCAAATCTCAACAAATAAATGCTCTGTCTTACATATTGGCAAAAAAAATCAGAAAATAAAATACAAGCTGAATAGTCAAGAACTTGTTGATGACCCAAGCTCTGTAAAGGACCTTGGAATACTCACCTCTAATGATCTAAGTGCTAGAGCCCACTGCAACTACATAGCCAAAAAGGCATTAAGAGTTGTTAACCTAATCCTACGTAGCTTTTTCTCTGGTAATATCACACTACTAACCAGAGCATACAAAACATTTGCTAGACCAATACTCGAATACAGTTCATCAGTCTGGAACCCTCATTACGTATCTGATATTAGCACAATTGAGAAAGTCCAGAAATATTTCACAAGAAGAGTTCTCCACTCTTCTACTCGTTGTAGAATACCTTATGCCACCAGACTTGAAATTCTAGAACTAGAAAACCTTGAATTACGCCGTCTTCGGTCTGACTTAAGCATGGTATACAAAATCATACATTGCAATGTCCTACCTGTCAATGAATACTTCAGCTTCAACCATAACAACACAAGAGCACACAATAGATACAAACTCAAAGTAAACCGCACCAAACTTGATTGCAGGAAATACGACTTCAGCAATAGAGTGGTCAATGTCTGGAATACTCTACCCGACTCTGTAGTTTCTTCCCCAAACCCCAAAAACTTTAACCTTAGACTGTCTACTATTGACCTCACCCCTTTCCTAAGAGGTCTGTAGGGGGCGTGCATAAACGCACCAACGTGCCTACCGTCCCTGTCCTATTGTTTCTCTTATTCTTTTATTTTTCTTATATGTACCCATTTCATGTATTCACAACTATGTATACACTTATACTTATTATCTTGTAAACAATTGGCAAATCAAATAAATAAAATAAATAAATAAACAGACAAGCTGACCCTCAAGGATGGACTAGCCTGGAAAGGGACCAAGTTGTACATCCCTACCACCTTAAGACTCCAAGTCCTGCAGCACAGCCGATTCCAAACTTGCAGGGCACTTTGGTTACTTAAAGACCCTGCACCTGACTAGGTGACAGTTCTGATGGCCCAAGATAAATGTAGATGTGGAGAGCTGTGCCACCTGTGCTACTATGAAGAGACCTGAAAAGCCCTCGGGTCTCCTCCAACAAGTGGATGACCCAAGTTGTCCCTGGGAAGAAATCACCATGGACTTCATAGTCAAGCTCCCAGAGAATGGCAGGAACATGGTCATTTGGACCATGACTGACCTATTTTCAAAACAAGACCATTTCACAGCCTGCTCAAGGTTGCCCTCAGCCAGAAAATTAGCCAAGATGTTTATAAAACAGATATATAGGCTACATGGGGTGCCCCATAGGATTATTTCAGATAGAGGGGTTCAGTTCATGGCTAAGTTTTGGATGGAGTTCCTATGGGCAATAGGGTCCACCCAGGGACTCAGTTCAGCTTTTCATCCAAGTACAAACGGGGCTACGGAATGGACGAACACCATGGTAGAACAGTATATTAGGTGTTATATAGATTACCAGCAATCTATTTAATTGGGCAGAGCTGCTGCCTTTTGCAGAAGGAGGCTACAACAACGCAGTGCACAATAGCACCGGTCTGGTACCTTTCCAAGTTATCAGCAGCATGGAGTTCATCCCCATGCCTAAGCTACCAGGGGGAAAAAAAAAACTCCATGTCCCTGAAGGAATGGATGGAGCAATTAAAGCAAGGGTGGGAAAACATGAAGCAAGTCCTAGTAGAAGTGGATAAAAAAATACAAACAGCAAGGCAATAAATGCTGCTTCTCCCTTCCTCCCCAGACAAAATATATTTGTTGACTAAGTACTAAAACTAAAGTTGCAAATAAGAAACTGGGACCTAAATTCATAGGTCCTTTCCCAATAGTGAGTCATAAATCCTGTAACTGTTCAGCTTAGACTCCGACACTTGCTAGAGAAAGTGCATCCAGTGTTTCATAGCAGCCTTGCTCAAGCCAATCGCAGACTAAGGCCAGTAGACCGGGCAGCCCCAGAACTGATCGTGGTGGAAAACTAACACTTGTTCCTGGCAAAAGGCCCACCTCACAGCCTCTCCTTAAGTGTTACTCTTCAGGAGGGATGGGGCAACTTCCTCCCGAGTAGTCAGGTCATCCTGCGCTGACTCTGCCTTCTGTCCATTCTTTCCACTTGGGGATCGGGTAGGGGAGGTATTTGCTCATCTCCAGAGCTCTGCTCCATTGTCTGCCCATTCCATCTCCTCCCAACTTCCTTGATAAGCCAGAGCCCTCTCTTCCTCCCTACCTACTCTTCCGAGGCCCGATGGACCTAGGACTGCCTCGTCCTCAGGTTGTTCCTTCTGAGCCATAGGGATTGCACCATCCCTCTGTGCTGGCCCCAGCTCCATCCCCTACTACTACTTAGACCCAAGCTCCAACTGGGCCATGACAGAAACTACTGAATTAGATAACTCTTTAAGATCCTCCATGGAACAAGATGTAAACATTATACATTCCAGATACTTCAGCCTGTATATCTTAGTACAAAGGCATGAGGAATAAAGTCCCTCTCAGATGTCTCAAATATACCCTTGCCACTCACCTTTGCTAAGAAAATGGACAAGAAGACCCTGCGCAAGCAGCATCTGCCCACTGCGCAACATACAGCCCCAGCCACAGTCAGTGGTCCATGTAGTGCCTTCAAGCTGCTGAAAATCTCGACGGTAAGTTAGCCAGATACGAGAGGCAAAGTCTTTCTGGAAGCGCTCCACATCCTCTTCAAGGAAAAACAAAATTCTGTCAGATAGAGGGACCTTTTTTTAATCAGGCCTCAAAGAAGCCCAAAGACACTGTCACACAACCTAAAGCTGCAGGAAATCTTAGTGTATACCTTTGCAGTATAAGACAAGACAGGGAGAGAAAAGTTATAAAGGGCTAGCATAAAAAAGTTTTCAGATCTTGATGAATCTAGGTATTTTTTTGTGGTCCTGACAATCTTCTAAAACATAGCAACATTCTTCAATGTAGATGTGTGGACTGTACACTAGGTTGCTAAGATTTTGAGATTTGTTTCTCAGAGAAAAGGAGGGGCAGTCAAATAGAACTCAGCTAAGTGATGAGAAGACCGTCCCCTATTGTATCAAACTTACCCTCTTCCCCAAAGCGATAGACACGTCCAAACAGATGAACTGGGGAAACCTTGCTGAAATTGGTTTTGATTCTGAGAGTCCAACCTGAGAAGAAAAAGGAATAGGAAATCCAATCTCAGATCATGTGATATGCCAGTTTAAAGCAATTGAGCACAGCTGAACACAGCTTTTTCCCTATAATCTCTTTTGTCATTGAGGCAATCAAAGAATAAAAAACAAAGGATCCTCAGGGCAAAAATACTCCAAATACATTATTGCCAATTTGCATAGGGTAGAGGTCTAACCAACACACACATTAAATCATCAAATGCACATAAATGTATAAACAACTAGCTCAACTCTTGTCCTTAGAATAGTCCTCAACTTATGACCACAATTGAGGCAAAAATTTATGTTGCTAAGTGAATTTGTTAAGTGAATTTTGCCCCATTTTATGACCTTTCTTACCACAATTGTTAAGTGAATCATTGCAGTTGTTAAGTTAGTTAAGTCAAGTCAATCTGGCTTCCCTATTCACTTTGCTTGTCAGAAGGTCAAAAGGTAATCACATGACCCCAGGACACTGCAAACCATCATAAATATGAGTCAGTTGCCAAGCATTTACATTTTGATCATGTGACCATGGGGATGCTGCAACAATTGTGTGGAAAGCAGTCATAAGTCACTTTTTTCAATGCCATTGTAACTTTGAATGGTCACTATATTAACTGTTGTATGCCAAGAACTACCTGTATGCACAACCATTTACACCTATGCTGAGATATCTATACAGATGCTAAGAAAAGTGAAGGTAATTAACAGTATAAACCTCTCTATCATGCTAAACAAGGAATTGTTTGACATTACTATAGGCATTATTTCAGAGAGAGAAATCAGCGATAATATAAACTAAGGAATTCATATTGTTACTAATAGAGCTTGTATAGTTAAAAAACTGATAACTTTCAGCAATAGAATGCTTGTGTTTACAACTGCAGACCAAGCTAAAATATTTTTACTAGTCATTTTCAATTTAAAGTCCCGTTTCCATGTTTTAAGAGTGCTTCTATTAATCTCTATGTTCTGATGAGAGTTATGAGCATACTTACCAAGCGTCCCCCAGTCCATGCCCATCTCGACAAGGATGAAGAAAAGTCCATAGGAATAAGAAAAAAGCTGTTCTCCTACTATGATACTCATATGAGGAGATAACCAAAGTAACTATGGTCTTATAACTTCAGCATAGGAGTAAATGAAAAGCACCTTGAAGGAACTGTGGTCCTTCAAATGTTGCTGGCAAGGATGAGGAATGCTAGGCACTCAATAGCATTCAACATTCAATAGCATATGGAAGGCCAAATGAAATACATACACATCTATACATATATCAATGAATGTATTTAACTCACTCACTAGTGGGTTATTTCACTAACTCAGACCACAAACTCTTCATCAAAAGTTATGTTCAATAAAATAATGGTGGGAAATATGTCCTATCAGCTAGAGGTTACAAAAAAAGACAGCTTTACTACCATAGCTGATTGGAAAAATAGAAACAGAATTTATTCTCCTAAACAGATGATTTTCCCCAACCCATCCAGATTTATTCACAAAACTCCATGAAAAATACAAGTACAAAATACATATGCATCTGCAATTACACTTCCCACTAGGCTAAAGTGTTTTGGTTTTGTGCAAGCACATCATATGGCTTAGAAATCATGGTTTATTGCTTAGTGTTGTTGTAAACATCAGTAGTTTACAGTTGGCAACTTTGATTTGTTTTTCTTCATTGGGGGTACTGGAATAATCACATCAGGAAGTGTCAGAGAATTAGGAAGACTGAAATATTCTGGCCAGGTTTCAGGGTTTGAGCTATTTCATGGACATCAAGGTAATGGAATAGAATGGTAGGCTTAAGCATTTTTTTTCTTCCTTTAAAAATTCAAAATCTGGAAAACCTATTTAATTTTGAATAGTTTCAGAGAGATTACAGAACATAATGTTTACAAAAGATTTGATTTTTTTTTTTACAAATCTTTAGAGACAGATACGCGCAAAAGTCAATCTTTGTAGATAACTAAATTCTAAACCTACATATTTAAAGGCTAACAATTAGGCCACTAAAGCAGGACTTAAATATATCCTGACAAATGAACTGATTTTATAAGTATGAAACTTAAGTAAATACAGGTCTCCTGATTTTAAAGTCACAAAATATATTAAGAATTTCATTGAAAATTCAAACCACATAAAGGAGAAATATGTAGGATGCCCAGCTGATGAAATACTTTACAGCTGTTACATAATTTTTTTAATCTATATTTCTCAAGATCAAGGTGACAATTAAACAGTGATAGGATCTGCCCATTCCCATGCAGTTTCTATAACCTGAACTTACCATATTTCATATTGTTCCAGGTAGAGAGGAGCTTGCTCTTGATCTTGTCCACTTCATCAGGTTCACTATACTGGCTGCAGGTGACACTTCTGGGGAAAAGCCCTGGATAGCTCCCTCCCTGGCTGCTGGCTCTGGGATTTAAAAACTGCCTTCCATCTGAGTGGTGCAACTCTTCCTGGCTTAAGTACTGCACTGAGGTGGGTGACACGGAATTCATTTAACAACTGAGACTAGTGGAGACTATGTCTTTTTTAACAGGTTGAGATGAAAGCTTCATGTGCATTGCTGGGGAAGTAGAACTACAAAATCAAAGGCAAAAACATTAAGAAAGCTGCTGTAGAGGTATAATAGCTCAATATATGATTATTAAATATTAAATGTCTTATATTCAAATCATCTTCCTAACTATATCAAATCTCAACTCCTGTACAGGTATTTACTTCTCTGTGTCCAATTCAATTGGGCTGGGGAGGAAGGAAGGTGGTGGTTTTAAGGAATGTCAGGTGACCTATAAAGGGCAAACAATAAGGTATTATAATCCACTCAACTTCTTTAAGCAATTAATTTTCATTTCCTGTTCATAACAGTTAAAAGATCATGTCATGCAAATCTTTACACAAGACAAGTTCAGGTATTTAAAAAATCCGCAACATGGGAGGGAAAAGAACCAGAGAAAAGTCCATGGTTCCTCCAGCAATGCTTAAGATGTTTATACCAAAACTTTTTTAAAAAATAGAGAGAATGTGTAATTCAGGAATAAGTTTGATGTTCACCTCTTCAGTTGAAGTAACTCATCTGTTCAACACTAATAAAAGCTAATGTAGAAAGGCCCAAAAAAGGAAAACGTCAACATATTTCAAATCAGTATTGTCAAACCTATGTTCTATCTATTACCATCTTAGATTCGAGTTTAAGCTCCCTAAATTATATGCTGAAAGCAAGATTGCTTGTGTTGCCCACTTGGAGGGGTTTATAAGGAGAGGGAAAAACTGTTTTGGTGTCTTAATCATTAAAGCATCAGGAAAAATCAAACAGAATATTTTTTAAAAACAGGAAAGTGTAACGGGGCTAATTTCCGTTTTAACCCGCTCCACGTCCCGCTCTGGAGAACAATCAGATTTATCCGGCCTATGGTGAATATGGGCGTGCGGGGGAGCGGGGGGCAGGAGGGCACAGGGGTCGCCCACTCCCGATCTTAGCCAGCCGGCGGCCTCTTCTCCGTATACATCTGTCTCATTTGCCCTTACCTACAGCTCGTCTGCCTCCCCGCCGCCGCCGAACCATGCCCCTCGCAACCAAAGCAAAGACCTATCTCAAAGCCTTCTCTACCACACGCAGTAAGGGCAGCCCAAGAAGGTCCCATCTCATCTTCCTTACCGAAACGGCGCAGGCGTAGAATACGAGAGTACAGGGCCCTCTTTGGGCGTCCGTCGTTCCGGTGGCCGCTATTCAATCCGCCATGAGCGCCCAACTCCGTATTACCTTACCGTACCGCAACGATGCCTCCGGCGCCGTCATCTTAGATCCCCGGAACAAACTTTCGACGGAAGTGCTTCCTTGCTCTTAGATAGCGGCCGGAAATGCTTTGGCCAAGGGATAAAAGAAAGAGAAGCATTGGAATAAATGCTGCAGGAGGGAGTCGCGCGTGGGATTTCGACTATGTTCCTCTCCTAAATGTCTTTTCGCCCGCTCTTTTACGTTTGGCGGGAAGAGAAAGCATGATTTTTCAAGCGCTTTAAAGTTCTGTTTCATAATTTTAATAATAAATTGTAAAAGGCAGCTTTCCAGGCAACAGCTTACATCCTGCTACTATTTAACACCACCAAACAACCATGTCTCTCTCTATCCAGGTCTTTGGAAGTGACTGGTTAATTGGTAACAATACCAAATCCACAGCCTGAGCTGTGAGATGGGCAGCAAATAAATTTGATAAATAAATAAATATACCCCTGGCTGACTGAGATAAACATAATTATTCTGATAATTCTTAGGTCCTTGGTTAGGATTTGAATTGTTAATCTTTATGAATCTAATTGTAGATTATCCAAATTTCGTAACACCAGATTTTAACTTTGCTTCAAAAGAATGAAGTATGGAAAGTTGATGTGGCAATAGAAGGTGATAGACGAATTTGAAAAGGTCACAAGGTATCAAGACTTAAAAATTGAAGTTGAAGGATGATGGTGTAAACCAGCCATGGCGATCTCAGTGGTTATTGGCACATTAGGTACAAAAAAAATCTTGGACAGCACTTAGAATATTGATAAAATTTCCAACTGTCAATTACAAGAGGTCACACTACTTGGATCTGCACATATACAATACTGATACATTACAACAGTGATGGCGAACCTTTTTGGCACCGAGTACCCAAACTGAAACCCAAAACCCACTTGTTTATTGTGAAGTGCCAACATGCAAGGGTGGGATCCAACCGGTGTTACAACTGGTTCGGTGCAGTAATAAATCAGCTTCAATAGTTTCGGTACATACCAGGCCTCAAGGCCTCAAGGCCTCACGTAGGCTGAAAGCGTGTACCAGGAACAAAGAACATCAATCAACAACACGTCATCATGGGCTAATAACTGGACTGCAAACGCTGATTTACTACTTTGTACCTTTCAAACTGACCATGTAACTGTAATTGGATGCTGCTATGTGTCCACTAATATTTCTGCTCATGTAACATAATGATTGGATAGAATTCACCGCTTATCACTATGTGTTTTTAATAAAAGAGCTTCCCTGAGCTCGTGATCGGGGCAGCTCACCCAAGATAGAACCTGCCTGGAGTCTTTCTTGATGCATTCGACCACCCAGTGAGAAGCCTTCCTAATGCGGAGCAAAGCCGCATCTGGTGACCCCGACGTGATCCGTTAAAAGAAACGGGTGCATCTGTCTTCGACTGCTTATCTCACCCGGCCGGACGAGCCAGTTGCAACCCAGGGACGCCGTTTCGTGTCACGGATCCCTCCCCAGGAATCTTCTGCAAAGAAGACATCCTCCTTTCAGGTGAGTATGGGCGGAAAGTTCTCCAAAGCGCAGATAGCACATTTGCAGGAATTAGGAGAATTAACGAAGAGCTCAATTCTTATTCTTAGGAATCAGGGCAAAACGCTCCCGGTTCCAACTAAAAAGGACCTTATTAACCTTTTGACTTACATTTACACACAACGTCCGGCTTATCCGGAGAAAGGGTCCTTGAAAGTGTCCACATGGCAACTTTTAGGTGACTATTTTCATAATAATCCCAGGGCTCCACCAAAGATTCTGACCACATGGCGAATAGTCATGGAATGTTTAAAAATCCATGGTTTAGCACTGACCAAAGCCCCCTCCCCTAAGGAGGGTCCTCCTCCCTATACAGCTGAAACCAAAACAAAGGACGCTCTCCCGTTAGAAGCTTCCTCCCCCACTGCTCCTAAATCCATAAATCCTCCTAACTCAAATTCAGTGGAGGATCAAACATCCATTGGAGCGATCGCACAAGCCATGACGCAGGGAGGGCTCTCTTACCCTGGAGGAGCTCTCTCTCTGTCCTGTTGAATATATAGGGGATGGAGCCGGAAATATGGTGCCTAGACTTGAACCTTTACCCATGAAATTAATCAGAGATTTAAAACAAGCCATGGCCATGTACGGCATCCAGGCACCATATGTCAGAGGCTTCATTAACACCATCAGCACCTCCTTTTTCATGTTACCCCAAGATTGGAAAGATCTTTTCCGTATGATACTGACTGGACCACAGTATGTTGTTTGGGAGTCAGACTTTCGCACCGAAGCTGAAAGATTTGCCCGCAATCGTGGCACGGCCACGAGAGCGGATCAAATTTTCGGTATGGGCCGATTTGCGGACTTATCAGCTCAGGCGGCTCTCCCACAACGTATTCTTGCCTTTATCAGTATCATAGCGGTCAAAGCCCTTGACAAGGTCGATGATCCTACTCTGGCATCGTAGGATCTTTTTCAAAAATCACTCAAGGCTCACATCAGCCTTATGCTGAGTTCATAGAGGAACTTCAGAAGGCCATTCATAGGCAAATCTCAAATGAAGAAGCCCGTAAAGAGCTTCTGTTGAAGCTGTTGAACTATTTAAAGGCTTGCAGAATCGTGGGAACTGTCTCCTACAATATGGAGCATCTGGCCATGGCCTTGCAGCAAGCAGGTTCTCAAACAGGCCGGCTGGCAACTGTTTAATTGTGGGAAGCCAGGCCACTTCAAAGCACAATGCAGAGCCAGGGACAATACACAAAACAACACCAAGCCTAAAACAATATGCCCAAGGTGCAAGAAAGGGTACCACTGGGCAAATCAGTGTCGCAGCAACATTCCTCAGCCACAGGGAAACTAGAGGAGGGGCGATCAGCCAGCCCCGCTCCAAAGGCTGACTCCATGTCTTTTCAACTAATTGCCTCTGAAGATATGGAAATTGACATCCCAGGCACTGTGTACTTTCTTCCCACACGCCTGAAAACAATCCCTCCTGCCATGACGCCCCTCATAATTTATCCCATCCGGGACCTCATGGCAAAGGGAATCATTGCATCTCCGTTTCTGAGAGATTCCGATGACTTTTCCTCAGTGGCCATGGCAGTAATTGGAAATACTCCCACCAAATTTAGCAACGGAGAACTAGTAGCAACCGCTGTTCCGGTACCTGTTAAAATGGCTGATGCTTGGGCATTTACTGTCCATCAAATGGTGGAACATGCCAGGCCTGTGTTACAATTCACAATCCGTGACAAAGTCTTTTCGGGTCTCTTAGATACTGGAGCTGACGTAAGTGTCATCCGAACGGCTGAGTGGCCGGACGATTGGCCTTTGGAAACTGCCCCAGCCGTTTGGGGAGTGGGAGGAGTTCAGCACCCCCACCGTAGCAAACACTGGCTACCGGTGAGTTCCTCTGATATTTCTCGCACTGCCTATCTCCAACCCTTGGTTCTTCCACTACATACTAACCTGTGGGGCCGTGATCTTATGTCTCAACTTAACGCAAAACTCATTATTGATTAATGGAATCTTTTGCTAGAACTCCACTGCGGCTACAATTAAAAACCACAGAACCTGTTTGGGTAGACCAATGGCCCCTCACAATAAACAAACTAGAGGCCCTGCAATCACTTATCCAGGACCAAATTGTCAAAGGGCATGTTGAACCATCTGTCAGCCCATATAACACCCCCATTTTTGTCATAAAGAAAAAGTCAGGAAAATGGAGGCTCTTCCAGGATCTAAGAGCCGCAAACACAATAATAAAACCAATGGGGGCGTTACAATGTGGTCTTCCAAATCCCAACATCATCCCTGAAAAATTTGATCTCATGGTTATTGATTTAAAGGACTGCTTTTTTTCTATCCCTTTGCATGAACAAGATCGTGCCTTATTTGCTTTTACACTGCCTCGCTTAAACAACTCCTCTCCCTCCTCCCGCTTTCAGTGGAAAGTTCTACCTCAAGGTATGCTCAATAGCCCCACCATGTGTCAACACTATGTCAATAATGTCTTGCTACCCTATCGTTCTGCTTTTCCACAATTTCTGGTGTATCACTACATGGACGATATCCTTGTTGCCGCTCCCGGGCCACCGGGTACGGTGTTCACTTCATTTTCCTTCTTAAAAGCCGTTCTTGCAAAAGGAGGTTTGCATATAGCACCTGAAAAGGTGCAAGTACTAACTCCGTATGCATATCTGGGCTATAAAATGCTTTCAACTACTGCCTATCCTTCACTCTCCTCTCTGTCTCTACCTTCTCAACCCACTCTGGTTCAACTTCAGCAATATCTGGGTACCATAAACTGGGCCCGACCTTTCCAGTCTTTAACCACTGATATTCTTTCTCCATTGTTTGAAGCCCTTACCTGGGGGAAAAAGCCTGCTGACATAATATCCTTGCAGCAACCTCAGCTTCAAGCAATAACTCAAATAGAAGAGAATATTCGAAAAATATGGGTAGACAGAGCTGCTGCCAATACTCCCCTAGATATGGTCATTTTAGCCACCCCGAGGCTTATGACCGCAGCAGTAACTCAAAAGGACCAAAAGCTCCATATCATAGAGTGGATCCATCTTTCCCATACGCCACGATGCTCCATCACTTCCAAATCAGCTCAATTGGCTCAATTGATCATAAAAGGCAGGAGCCATGCAAAATTACTTATGGGAATAGATATCTCCACACTTTTTATCCCTTTTTCGCTACAAATATGGGAATCTCTATTCCAAAACTCCCAGGAAATTCAATTTGCCTTAGCTGACTGGCCTGGACTAGTTTCCTGCCACCCGCCCGCTGATCCACGTTTTCAAATCATTCGGACAATACCCATCTCTTTCTCCTCTCCCATCAG